CATTTTAATACTTCCTTTGATCTAATTTAATTATTTAAATTTCACTTTATATAGAATTTGATCAAATAATTTTATATACTAATCAAATAATAATTATAATTTTTTTACATGTAATTTTGATTGAGTATTTTTACTTAAATAAAAATAGTTTTTTAATTGCCATTTATTTTCTTAGGAAATTATTAAATTAATTTATATAAAATTAAAAGACTAATACAACTAAAAAAAAACTAAAGAGGGTATTATATGAACAAAGGTTTGTTTAATCTATATGTTAAAGGCACAAATTAAGGGTGCAATAAATGCACTTTTTTATAATTAATTTACATTAAAAATTATAAAAATTGATATATATTTTTAACATTATTAACATGCGGATAATTTTAATTGATTAATTAATTAAATCAAAATAAATATTTATAGTTTTAATAAATATTAATTATGAAAGAGATTATTGCACTTTCATCCTATACCCTAAAATCCTATTAACAAATAAAATTGGTGTTTTTACTTCATTTCCCTTTCACACAACAAGCCTTCCTAACTTCTCCTATCTAGACCTATTTAACAACTTTTATTCCAACTTTTTCAACATGGACATTTTACCAAACATTTAAGCACTAACAATTTTAATAAAACCTCAATCCGAAAAAATTACCAATTTCCTAACTTATGGTACCTCACCAAACCATTTCTTTAAGGCTTAATTAGTAAATGGTTTATTAACTATTGAACTTTTTTTTGTTTTAGTCTAGAATTTTTATTTACTTTCAAAATCATCTATTAATTTTTAAATTTATTTTAATTACATCTAATTTAACACAACTTAGTTAATTGAATTAACGAAATTCTAGATTTTTTATTATGTGGCGCCACATAAATCAACACGTAAATTGCCATATGGCCTAATAAGAAACCATAAGAATTTTCCTTTCCATTTTTATGCCATGTAGTAACTTAGTAATTTATGTGGTATTATACAATTAAAAATTAAAAATTTTATTAATTTAATTAATTGGGTTGTGTTGAACTAGACAAAAATAAAACAAATTTAAAAGTTAATAAGTAATTTAAAAAAATAAAAATTTTACGTGAAAATAAAAAAAATAAATAATTAATAAACTATTTATTAAATTAAGTTATTTTTTCAAAATTAAATTTTCTATTTGGAAAATTGCTCTAGGCGTAAAGACTATAAACCAAACAGCCTCTTGTGGTTTTCGGGTGACAAGTCAACATGAAGGTAGTGTCGTTTTCTGTGGGTATTTTGGGGAAATAACATCACCATTTCTTCGAAATTACCCAAAAACACACTAACTGCTGAGCTAACCACATGCACCTTCCAGCGCGTGGATGTCAGCATCCAATCAAAGAGCATAAACCAGCATAGCGCGTGAGTCAGTGATGAACACAGTTAGGGGCGGCTGCGAATAAAGCCAAAAGGTTAAGGCCGTGTTTGGATGTGAGGACCACAAAGAAAAAGACGTTAATTTGTAAAAAGAAGCGAAGTGGTGAATTATGATGATTGATGCTACTGGTACTGGTGCTGATGGTTCATATTTTGTATTATTTTAAAATTTATTACGTATTGGAATCCATGAGGGGGGAGGGGGGGTAGATTTTTTAGTACAGAGCTAAAAATATTCTAAGAAAATTTCATTTGGAGAGTTTCAAGGGAGGAGACATGCACAAATTCTTCCCAACACCTCAAATCCTTGCTGCTTGCTGCCTCCTCAACAGATCCCAAAGGTCACTCTCTTTCTCTTTCTGGGTCTCTTTTTTTCTCTGCTGTTTGTTGATTGGTTTGCTGCTTATCCTTTCTCCACCGCTGTCCCTTTTTTTTTTTTCTATTGCTCCATTTGCTTATTCCTTTTTCTGATTCTTTCTTCTACTTGCTTTTCCTCTTCTGGGTGTTCATTTTTGGGGGTGGATTCTTAGTGGGTTTGGCCTTATTTGCTGTTTCTTGATTGCATGTGTGTCCAGTAGTAGCATGATGATGTTGATGTTCCTGTTAAAATGGGGATATTATTGTTCTGGGTAAAGTAGCAGTAATTACTACTTGCATGCCCCTAAATGGTTTTCGTTTTTTATTTTTGGGTTTAGCCTTATTTCTTGTTCTCTTCCATTTAAAGGGGGTTTGTTTTGTGATGGGTTTCTGAATTTATGCAGCTGAGGTTTGTTGTGTTGAGGGATGCTGAATTGATAGATATGAGCAATATGTTTGGATTCTGATGAGTTTGCTTTGTTGGGTTTTGATCGAATCTTCTCTTTTTGGATGGATTTATAATATTTTTGGGATCAGTTCTCTTTAGGTTAATCTGTTGATTTCATGTATTTTTGCTGGTAGATATAGTGCCTTCAATACCTTGGTTCTCTATACATATATTTTTACTAAATGTGGCATTTCTTTTGATGTTTTCAAGGACTAGGGTTTTCTTTTAAGAAATTGGAGTTCACAATTACTTAATTAGATATTATATATGAAACACCATAAAAAATCTTCTCATGTGGTTTTGTGGATTTGGAATCAACAATTGGAACAGGAAGGTTTCAATTTTTCTGAGGCACAGTAATAAAAGAATAAAACTCTTTTCTACATATTTGGGTTATCTTTAACTTCTCTGTGCATGCAAAGCAGAACTACTATTTTAGTGGCGTTGACCTGTGGAGCATCTTTATACTTTCAGGATGCTTCATCTGCCACTTCTAATGTTTAAAAGAAGAATGGTTTTCTAGTTTTATTTAAAGAGCTTAGGACCGATTTTGGGATTTGGATAATGTGCTTCTCTTACCAACTCTTCTGCTTTTGAGGTTATTTTTATTGTGCTGAATGGGGCATTTCATCCTTTTGACTGTGGTGAATTTTTGATCTGATGAATGCTGTCATTGTTGGTAATCCGTATTTTGAGTATAATGAAGACAGCAATAGCTCGCTATATCTTGTGTTTGCCCTTAGCTGCTAGTCTTGCAGTGGGCCAAAGAATCTGTTCGCTGTTAAGGATATTCTGGCTTTGCGTTGGTAAACTTGATAGACTAGATGGCTGTTTGGGTTCAAAACTTGCCCAAGAAAAATCTTGGTCAAATTTCTGTTCATTCACTGCCCCATTTGTCTGTTAGTTACCCATTGTGGGGGAATTCTAATGAAGACTAGATTACGCACTCTTTATCCGATATAAGCTTGAAAGTTGAATCTCCATTCAAATCTTGTCCCGGTGCAAAGTATTTAGTTCAGCAACTACCAGTTCTGGAATCATCCTCAGTTCAATCAATTGGTCAACCTCATCATGAAGTGGGTGTCCTGGGAGGGACCAATTCTAAGTGCAATTCATCAGAATCTGGTATCGATACTAATGGATACAATTATTGTAGATGTTTTGTCCTGTATTCTTTTTCCTTTTCTTTCCTACCGCAACTCTTGCCACGTAATTGAAAACAAATGTCTTCCTTGTCCTTAATGGTTCTTGGTGTTAATTTGACTCTGATTGTGTTGTTATCAGGACAGCTGGAGAAAATATTTGGGAGAATGCTTTTACCTTTATTCCCATGCTTACTTTCATATCATTCTCATTGTGTATGCTTTGTACTTGGTAACCAGCCCCATTTAGGGCTATTTTATATTAGAGATTATTAATGGTTCTGAGTGTTGATTGATCTGATTGAACTGTTACCTGGACAGCTGGAGAAAATATATGGTAGAATCCTTTTATTGGTATTCGTGTGCTTACTTTCATATCATTCTCATTGTGCATGCTTTTGCTTGGTAACCAGTCCCATTCAAAGCTAGTTTATATCAGTTATTTTATTATTTCCTACTCAGATGATTATTGTATTTATAACAAACAAGGAGTTAATATTTTTCTCGATTTTCTTCCATTTATGAAATGTCAAGGAAATTAATGGAGCATAAATGACAAACTAATGTTTGGAGGGTCGCTTGATTGCCTTTCCTGCAGTTCCTTATTCCAAATTTTCAATGCTTAAACTATTAGTAACTGTTACATAGGTTAACATATTGGTTGCTTTTATCCCTACTTTGTAACTTTTGTCTCATGTACTCAGGTGAAGATGAATATTGTGAAAACAGCATTGAGTGTCAAATGAAGCCAGTTTTCGTTCTCAGCAATCCAGACCCTATGTTCAATCCTTCACATATTACTAATACCCATCCAATGGTAGGATACACTCTTTACTTTAGGACCTCTTTGAGTCTTTGTACATGTGGGTAGAGTTAGGATCTATAAGAATAAGGAACTCTTACATAAGTTTATAATTTCCAATTTAGTTAATGTTTAAAAGGATTAAATGTTTTCATGTAGATCATGCATGCCAAATTTCATATTAGTTGAATATATTTAACTATTTCATCAATTACAGAATTTTATACTGTTGTGGTTTTTCTAATCAAATGGTTATGGATGTTAGATTAACTTGAAATTTGGTATGCATGATGTAAATGTATAGAATCATCAATCCAACAATTGGTGTTTTAAAACAGTCGCTATGTTGAAAGTTGGAAACCTATATATTGTTGAACTAATAACCTTTTTCTCCCTTTTCAGTCTTCTGCTCAGTATCCTTATGCTGATGCTTACTATGGTGGGTTATTAACTCCATATGGACAACATGTTCTTGTAAGTTATTGAATTTTTTTATTATTTTTTATTTTTTCTTGTACCAATTTATCCTTTTGAAGATAGATTGCTCTAAAAAGCTATTTTTGTCCAAGGGAGACAGGACTTATTTCCTACACTTTGTTTGTACTTAAGTAATATCTTATTATATGCTATATGTCAAAACTGAGTTTCTTCAGTAATTGTAGAACTATTTGTATTATGCCATCTAGAACAATTTGTATTCTTAAGGATGTGGGTTTGATAGTGTTAAGTTGGGTTTTCTTCCTCTCCTTACATTCTCCTTTTCCTTTCTAGCCTTAAATTACTTGGTTTGTTTCACCTTATTTCCTTAGTACTCTTTCAACCTTTGCTTTTAATATGTTCTAACACAACTCAAACTCGACCTATTCAGCCCCAGATGGGACCACAGATGGTGGGTACTCCACCTACACGAATTCCGCTGCCCTTTGATCTTGCAGAAGATGGACCCATTTATGTGAATCCAAAGCAATATCATGGGATTCTCAGAAGACGACAATTTCGTGCAAAGCTTGAGGCACAAAACAAACTTGTCAAAAGTCGCAAGGTATGTAAGCTCCTGTTGGCTATTATGGGAACTCGTGGGGCTTCATTTATTGTTATGAAGCATATGTTTTGTTTCTACCAAAAAAAAAAAAAAAAAGCATATGTTTTGATCTTTTTAGAGCAAAACAATATTTATATAGTGTTGACAACAGCATCTGTTAAGTATTAATTGTAAATAATATTGGTACGATCCAACTGCTTCTCTTGCTGGCAGTTTTCTAAATTTAATATTCATGATTACTTTTAAATTACATGCAGCCATACCTCCATGAATCCCGGCATCGCCATGCACTAAATAGGGTCAGGGGATCAGGTGGACGTTTTCTCAGCACCAAAAACCTCGAACAACCTGACCAAAAGAATGGAAACTCAGAATTCGAAAGTCAGTGCTTGGAAACTGTTGAATATGTTGGCTTAATGACAACCTGCCCTGACACCTCGAGTGGCTCTAATGGTGATATGAATTTCCGGCAGCAGCCAGAACACAGGTCCTCAGGCATCTCTCCTCATGCTGGTGCAAACATGCAAAGCAGTGGGAACCTTATGTCCAATGGGACCAAGCATAATGTCCGGTGACAACCCGGATCAGGCAATTCATCCTTGGCTTTATCACTCTACCTTTTTGTTACTCATGTTTACTTTGGAAAACTTCTCAGGACATCTAATCATCCCAGCTACTTCATGTTTTCTTGCATATATTCTAGGGATGCCAATATGGCAGATAAGGGATTGTGGTTGAGACTTACTTTGATGATACTTGACTCGGTAATTATTAGGTTGTTAATTAATTACTTTAAAATGACTGGAAATTGGAAAATGTGAATGTGACTTTTCTCCTGTTTCAGATCAGCCCTTTGGGTTTTCTGTTTTCTTTTTATGATTTTTTTTGGGGGTGGGTGAGGACAGGGGAATTAAGAATGAGGAAAATTAAAAATAATTGGAAAAGAGATCTTGTAAGTTGTATGGCATTGGCAGGAAAAGGATTTAAAGGGAGAAAAAGATGGCATCATGACTGCAATATGCAGATAAGGTTGTAATTATAAGAAAGGTATCTAAGTTGCTAATAAACAAAATTTAATAGTTGTAGCCTTGTAGGTTAATAATTGCTAATGATGCCAAATGGACTCCTACTTTCCTTTCCGAGTCAGCATTTTTTATTTTTGAGAAAGAGAATGCTTTTTTTTTTATTATTATTTCGTAGTTGACTCAAAAAATTGGTTATGATTATAGTCATTGTTAATTTTATTAAAGTTTTTAAAATTATTAAAATTTTAATTTAATTTAATTATTAAAAAGTAAAAATAATTAATAAAATAATTACTATTTATTATTTAATAAATTAAAATTATTTAATAAATAAATATTTTTAAATATCATAATTAATTATTTAAAAAAATTATAAATTAAAAAATTATAATTAAAATTAGTGACCTTAACCAAAACATTAATACCAATAGCCTTAACCCCAAAAAAATTAACTATAGATCTTGGGAGGAAGGTCTTACATTTAGGAGATTCTCTTTCATCTATAATTATAATTATATATACCACATCATGTTAAATCGTACAACATTTTCTGTTTTAGAAATCATAGCAAATCAATATGCAGCATATTCTCAAGAAAACACCTTTTTTTGTTCTACTAGAAGAGGAGGGAAGAATACCAAATAACGCATCCCCTTGTAGCTATTCCTTCGTTCTTGTAACTCAAGTATGGAATAGGAATATTCATTCCTCAATGATCACTCTATCTAACCGAACATGATCGAATGGTAGGTACTAAGATTCAAGATGAAATAAAATGACCAAGTGGGTGGGTAGGAATGAATGAAAAAGATTTCTCTTATATATAAAAAAAAAAGTTGATACACATTTTTTCTTACAATAAAATATTAAAATAATTATATAATAATAAATAACTAAATACATACTAATTCATACGTTTTATCGTCCAAAGAATTAATATATTAATTTCAAAAAAAAAAAAAGAATCAATATATTAATTGTCACATAAAATTATAAAATTTTGTTATAATAAAGAAATGTTATATTATCGAGTTTGAATTAGATAAAGTAAAAAAATAATATTATAATAAATAGAGATGGGGTTTAATTAAAATTAATACTCCAAATATTGTAAAAATGAAAATGATAAATACTAAATATTATACTAGTAATAAATAAAGTTTCTTGAACATCTTAAACCAATAAAGTGGAACAAGTGAATTAAAAAGGAAAAATTTTTCCATTAAATATCCACGATATGCTCATTTATTAACATAATGACACGTAAACATATATGGTTATATTAATAATTAAATAATTAATAAATTGTAATAAATTAATTTATTTGATTGTAAATAAGAACTACACATATTAACATATTATTTTTTTATATTAAACTCTTGATATTCGGTAACTATATTAAATATTGATTAATTTAGAATCGAGTCGCATCAAATTTTATTAGGGAGAAACTCTTTCAATACTTGTTTCTCTTTTCAGAAAACTCAAACTTAAAATTTTGGTTAAAAAAAATCGAGTTCTTTCTATTTAAACCAGTAAATTGATCATTGATATATTAACATATTATTAGTATAAGATATAAGATATCCCATTAATAATATCTCTGTCTTTTAATATATTAACACATCCGCAAGTATAGTCTTTCTTAGCAATGTAAAATTGTAAATACTACAACTAGCATGGGCATATGGAGAAATTCCTGCATCCTTTTTAAAAAGGGAGGGACCCTCATAAATAGACAACAAGCTTTTCCTTTTTCTCCTTTTATTGAAAAAAAAAGGGCCCCTCATAAACCTGAGGGTCCAGAAAAGCCCTTCAAAATGTATTTATTCCAAATTGGTCCCTACTACAAATATCACCCAAAGTAGACTTAAACCATTTCGGAACGGAAAAACACAATAAAGTTAAGGTTAAATCCCCAATTCAGTCCCTCAACTTTCATTTTTAAACCAAATTTACCCTTAAACTTCAAAAAGTACTAAAAAAATCCTTGAACTTCAATTTTCAAGACCAATTTTGTCCTTCCATCGACGGAAGTGCCAGATGGCACGTTAAGTTGCCACGAAATAAATTCTTGTTTGAAATCTTTAATTACGTGGAAAATAATTTAACTCATTATTATCCACATCATTTTAATTAATTTATATATTAAAAAATTTTAAATTCCTTAAATACCCTCTTCATCTTCCATCCCTTCTTGTCTCTCTCTATCCTTAGATGTCTCCTCATCTTGCAACCCAATTAGCACCAATCATCCCTCATTGCTTCGATCATTTATTACCACTTCAATCACCATCTACTTCTTCCCCAAACCTCCTCTCTAATAGAACCTAAATCTGGTTCCTTGCACAATAATAATGACCAATAGATCTTATTCAAAAAATCAATTCCTCTGCAAATGTATACCAAATCTGTAAAGGAAAATGTAAAAAACACAACATATCTTCAATCAACACTAACACTAACTAGATCTTGAAATTCAAGCAATCAGAAGCCACACAAAATTCTAAATCCCATTCCAAGATAGCCAAGCATGACTGTAGTCAACAAAGAAACAGAAGAAAAAACCCAGGTGGGTTCGACTCAAACCCAGGCGTTGGTGCTGGGTTCCTTTGAACCCAGTAGGGAGGGGAAGGAGGAAAGGAAAGAGAAGGAGAAAAAAAAAGGGAAAGGAAAGAAAAAAGAAAGAAAGAAAATTTTTATATATTAAATTATATTTTTGGTGCCAAGTCACAATATTTTTATAATTAAAAATGCCACTTCACTTATTTTATTTCTAGGTAATATTTAATATTAACAAAAATTGAATTTGTTAACGAGAAATTTTACCATGTCAGCACTTAACTGACAGAAGGACAAAATTGGTTCCAAAAATTGAAGTTCAAGGATTTTTTTAGTACTTTTTGAAGTTAGAGGGTAACGTTAGTTCAAAAATGAAAGTTGAGGGACTGAATCGGGGATTTAACCTAAAGTTAATCGGAAGCCAACCAGTTCACCATACACTACACATTGATAAATTCACAGAGAAATCAGAAACTGAGGCTAACGATCAACAGAAACAGCAGCGTCGGAGCTGAAGATGGTGTCGTACAGTAGGTTGTTGCTCTATGGACTTGGGGGCATTGCGGTGGCGGGGATGGCGCTGCTCGTCGCCTTCCAGGACAAGCTGGTTTACGTGCCTGTGATTCCGGGTCTCACCAGGTCTTACCAGATGACGCCCGCCCGACTCAACCTCATATACGAGGACGTCTGGCTTCGATCCTCTGATGGGGTTAAACTCCATGCCTGGTTCGTCAAGCTGCTTCCCGATTGCCGAGGTAAAAGATGATCCTTTTTTTTTTTTTTTTGTTAGCTAATGAGTGCTTTCTTTGTTTAGTTTAGGCTAATTAGGGTTTGAGAATGAATTTGGGTTTTGAGTGAGGATACAACTTTGGGAGATGGGATTGAAATTGAAATTGGATTTTATAATTGAATTGTTAACGGTCTAACTTTGTGGTTGTGGCTAGAAATAAGGTTTGAGGTTATGAATTTACTTGGATTGAATATAGACTGAAATGGAGCAGGCCATTTTGAGGAATAAAATGAAAATGACCATGCTTCGCTTTTTGAAGAACTTGGTGAACGTAAAGAGAACTGAAGAAACTTCTGCGCTTGATGGGAGAGGTTGGTACTGGTTACATGGGCTGAATTACTATGGTGTAAAAATGGAATAGAAAATGATGGGAGACCCTGTTTTATCATGGACATTTCAAGTGATGGGAGACCCTGTTTCAATATAATTGGATACTTGGTGTTAAGAATTGATTGTCACATTACTCTTGACAATGCTTATCTATCCATTTAACTTTGTTTCAATTTCATCATTTGGTTGATTACATTGGCTTTAGAAATCAGTGTTTTTCTGTTTTTGCAGGTCCAACCATCTTATTTTTGCAAGAGAATGCTGGAAGTATCCTATTCATTGTACTTAAATTTAGTTTCTAACCTCTATTTCAAATCCCTTAAATGGGTAAATTTGCCAAAATTTTCTCTTCATCAGCTCCAAATACCTTGGGCAGGCTTAACTAGTGATCTGCAGATATTGCTCACCGTCTTGAAATGGTTCACACAATGTTACAGAGGTTGCAGTGCAATGTCTTCATGCTCTCATATCGAGGGTGTGTATCGACAGCAGCTTATGTGGTGCTTTTCTTGTTTGGCTCCGTTATCTGATTGTAAGGACTCTAATGCTTCATGAATTTATTTACAGTTATGGAGCAAGTGATGGTTATCCTTCTCAGCACGGAATTACTAAGGATGCCCAGGTTGCTATTCCCATTTCTTGTATTTTGGTTCAAAAAAATCTACTTTCTAGAAAACAGTGATGTTCTCAATTGCTTATCCTCCTGTTTGTTTTCTATTAGGCTGCATTGGATCATCTATTTCAACGGACTGATATTGACACATCTAGAATAGTTGTCTTTGGAAGGTCACTTGGGGGTGCTGTTGGAGCTGTGCTCACTAAAAACAATCCTGATAAGGTATCACTCAAGTAATTGTCAGTCATTTGCATTTCTTTTGTTGGGTGATGCAGCTTTGGGGTTTTTATGGTTTATAAGTACCTCTGCTCCTTCAGCCAGAGAATATGGTATTTTAGTTCTGTGCTTCAAGATCATACTGGGCTCTAATTGAGCATACTAGTCTTCAATATTTCATTGCTGTTGGCTTATGTCCTGGCTAAACTACTGCTCTCTATGCTGCCAAAAAAAAAAACTATTTCATTATTAGCTGATATAAGTTTGACTTTGACGTTACAACTGGTGGTTGGATTGAGGATGGCAGATTGTTTACATCAAATAGAAGTTTGGGGCTAGTAAACTGATGTGGTTTCTATTACACTAAGGGTCAGTATCTACCTTTATAAGGCAGATTGACATGATTGAGGTTGTAGTTGTTTCAAGTATATGGGGTGAATTGGAGACATGATTCAATGGTTATGAATCGTCTGTTTTTTGAAGTAGAAGGCCTGTATAGAATGGGATGATAAAATGTGTAGTGTTGATGGAGCCAAATATGTGGGATTAACTCTGTCAAGCAGATCAGTTTTGGACACATTTTTAGGTATTGAATATATGATTACTCAAATGTTTATTCTACTTTAATGTATTATCATAATGAAACTAAGTTATCTTTCATGGATCTCACTTTTTAGTGGAATTTTCTTCAGTTGATTGACATCATTTCATTGTTGAATCAACTTATCCTTTGTTTCTTGTTATCAAGTCACTCTTGTTGTCTTTTCTGTCAATTACTGTAGACAATGTGATTTTCATCTTACCAATTGTAGGCTAGAGGGGTCTTTATAATCATTGCATATCATGCTGCTATCTGGAGGCACCTATATTTTAATTTCTGCTTCACTGTGGGCATTGTTCAGTTAATTTAGATGTTTCAGTTTATTAAAAAAGAAAGATACTAAGATAAAAAAAAAAAAAAAAAAAAAAAGAAGAAGAAGATATTTCAGTTTACTGCAATGAATCTTTTCCCAATGATTGAATCTTTATTGTGTCATTCTTTTCCAGTCATATCAGGCATGTCATTTCTTGGTTTATCTCTGTGTTTCAGATTGCAGCATTGATTCTAGAAAACACTTTCACATCTATTCTGGACATGGTTGGAGTTGTGGTGCCCTTTCTGAAGTGGTTTATTGGAGGACCTGGTTCAAAAGGTCCTAAAATTCTTAATTTTCTTGTTCGCTCTCCATGGAGTACCATCGAAATCATTGGACAGGTAAGAGTTAATTAGAAATCCTTGCTTTGATTCCCTAGGAACATTTTTACCAAATTGCAATGCATTTGGTTGAGTGAAACCTTTCTCACCATGTGGTGGTGACCATAGGATCAATATGGTCACATGTTATTAATTTCACAGAAGCATGCAAACCTATGAAAATTTTGCAACTGAATTGTGAAGGAAGTGGATTTCTGAGCTCAATAAGCAGCTATCCAGAAGTGCATTATCCTTTGTAACATAGAATAAGTTTACAAACTTAGAGGCTATTGTTATTACATAAATTATTGAACATCATTCTATCTGCTCCTAATTTTATTTTTGAATTTACTAATACTATTGGTAACATAGCTTTCTGAAATTTCCATATTACATTTATTATTTCTTAACAAGTGCTAAGGAGCATGATTTTACTTCTTCCCTTTGTGTTATCAGTTAGATCTTTTCATCCTCTAACTTTTATGGTTTGATGTATCATTCTTCCATGTGATTTTATTGACTGCAGATTGAGAAGCCAATTCTTTTTCTCTCTGGATTACGAGATGGTGTGGTTCCCCCATTGCACGTGCAAATGCTTTATGCAAAAGCAGCTGCACTTAACAGGCAGTGTGTTTTTGTAGAATTCCCTACCGGTATGCACATGAACACTTGGCTAGTTGGTGGGGATCATTACTGGAACACAATCCAGCAGTTCCTAGAACAACATGCTCCTGAGAGAAAGGAAAATGAGACATCCTAAAATGGAAATGGTAATGTATTTTTGCCTTACAAAATCTTCACTGAATCACATTTGATCTCAGCTCTTATTGATATAACTATCTCACCTGTCTTTATCTCTTATTGATATAGTTATCTGATACTGCTTTGATACCGCTTTCAGATTTCAAGGAAAGGTAACTGGGCTAAATTTAAGCTTACTTTATATTGACTGGCATTAGGAGCTCAAGCTTTGTCCTTGGTTTTGATGCTGCAGCTATATTAAGAGCTCTCTGTGATTTGCTGGCTGCCTTTCCGATCATTTTCACCTGAGAATTTTCTTATCGGCAAACAAATATAAGCCTCAGCCATGATGCAAAGCAGAATACTATTCAAGTTCCCCACTTTTTTACTGTATGAACTTGACAAAAAACACGCTAATCTATCTGATTTATTCTCTGACTATTTGTTGTATGAAATATCCACGTCTCTTAGAAATGCAAAGATACAATTTCTGCTGCAATGCTGAACCCTCCTTGAACTTCAATTTAATTTACAATGGTTTGAAACTTCACCTTTTTTATGTTCTTCCCAGATCATAGATTTTCTTTCTACCGCTATATATTTCAATAGTAATGTTATAGTTACAATGTTATGTAGAATTGTAAACTTTACAATCATGATGTGGTATTAAATGAAGAAAACATGACATTATATGTGTAGATACATATAATATCATAGGTGGTTTATAATGTTATATGGTATTATAATTATAGTTTTTTCAACATTTCAATGGCACCTATCCGGAATCAATTATGCTTGTCATATTTTGACCAGATCATTTCTTCCATCAAATCGAGAATAGGAAAACAAAAACATGAGTGAGCATTCTGCAAAAGGCATTGGTTCAGAATGCCTCAAGCATGAAGAAAAAAAGAAGTCATATTCACTTAAAACCTCTGGCAATCAAGGTATAGAACAGCTATCTAATGGACACAAACTATGGTCAAAATGCCCAGTAAAGGAGAAACTTTGCCGTGTTTCGTAGATACCGTCGATGCTGTACTTCAAATCCACAGAGATATCTAAACCAATTGGAAGATTACACCTTAAAAAACTCTACTATTGCATTAGAAACCTTAGTATCTTATGTTAAAGTGTTATTTGAGTTGTGACAAAACTTCAATTTAAGATTCAAAAGTCTATTACGTATCATTTAGCTGTAATGAAACATAATCAACTTAAGATTCAAAAGTTTTTTAAGTGTTATTTTCTGTTAGTTTAAGAATATTATATTAGAGATATTTTTATGATACAATAAAATTTTTCTTTGTTAAAAGAGAGATTAATAATCTGCATTCTAGTGTTATTTAAAATGCTCAAATTGTACAATCATCTCTTCTATAAGACACTAGTTGTTAAGTCATCTCTTGAACAATATACCAACTGTTAAAATTATTCAAAATGTTATTATATGAAAGTTCAGAAATGCCGCTTTATACAAACTTGCACTGGATGACAAAGTGTCCCCCCCCCCCCCCAAAAAAAAAAAAAAAAACAATTCTGCATGGCAAATTCTCTCTTTGTAGCTTCATTTCAAACATTCGGCAAAAAAATAGGAGAAAAGAAAACCAGACAATTTAATTTGTATAAAATTAAGAAAGAAGCCTTCAACTCTATATAAGAACAGCATTTTGTCCCCTGTATCTCTTCCAAGAAAATTAGAAAGAAAAGAGTGTGTATTCCCTCCCCATAGATGCACAAACCCGAACTCAGTTGACATCAAGCTTGCATGATTCTTGGCCCAATAGCACCTGGCACTTTGGCGTTCAAGTCAAGAGTACTCTAAATCTAAATCTCTTTGAAGGTCATAGAACTTTGGATGCTTCATGTCGCCTTGGCTGTCATGGATCGACTGTGATGCTTAAAGAGGATCAAATTATAATATGATTGATCCTAATATATATATATATATATATAAATAAGATTCGATTGTAGAAGGAATGAATATCATGTCATTATAAAAATTAATCAAATTATGAGAAATCAATTTATCAATTGATTGATTTCAAAGATTTGATATTGATTATAATTTTATGAGTAGGAAAATTTCTAATTAATTGTTATATTATGTATTTTTTATCTTATAAATAAAGTTATTTATATGTAAGAAAAGAATGAAAAAAAAATAAATGTGCAAAACCATAAAAGATTTTATACTGTAGACTAAGGGGGCCTTGATTGCATTATGATGTCTTGTCACTATCTCAAATCATGTAATATCATATTATTTTTTCTTTCATTTAATTTTTTTTTCACTTATCTTTTATTTTATTCATGTTATTATTGTTCATATTATTATGTTATCATAAGATTTCTAGAGATTTTCTCAACGTATTAAAAACTTCAATACTTTGATTGTTACCATGCGCCTCCGTGCGGGATACTCTTTTTTTTTGACTTGAGGGCTTCATTGTGTATCATTTGGTTCTCAGTTGGGTTTCATTTGGGATTGATTTGACATTCATCTCTATTTTCTACCACACCCCCAAGGATCGTTAATTCACCAAATGTTGACTCCCAAGATTCTTGAAAACGCTAAATCTTGGACCTAAAGAAAATCTTTAATTTATAGTTTTGTTTTCTCTTTTTTTTTTTAAGTAATTACTAATTTGGTTTTATTTATAAATTAAGACCTTTTTTTTGAAAAGAATAATAAATGTATAATTTTTATTTTTATTTAATGTTTTGTTTAATATCATGTGATATTTTTATTTTAAAAAATTATATATAAATTAATATACATCCACAGCATTACCATTAGTAACATTGGACTCACAGCATTACCAGTTTTGTAAGCAATTGAAGTTCGTAACCTTAATTGTGAGCTAAGTGAAAGTTCATGACCTTGTTCTCCGTCACACTTTCACCTTACGGTCGCTAAAAAGATGCGTCATCGACGTTGAAATCTGAAAACGCCATAGTTTCTTTCTTCCCTGAGGGAATGGTCCTGCCACTGTCGGTGCAACCCCCGGCAAGGCCCCGATCGAGTAATGGCGACGTATACGGCCACTATAGGCCGATAACCAAATGGGGATGGATCGTCGCGTCCCAGCCGTCCGATTAATTCGTAGTACCATCTTATTTCTTCCGACGCAGGTCGGAACCTTCGTATAAAATTATGAGAGGTGTTAATTGGGATAATTTTATTTTTATTTTTTTATATAATTTTTATATGTTATTAAATGAGTGAATATATTTAATATTATAAATGTTATACAAATTAAAAGAACTAATTATTTTAATGATACGTCAAATTGTATAAAATAATGAGATGAAAATGTGGTATAAAAAATATTTCCTTAAAATTATTATGGTTCAAATCCAAGGTCTAGCTCTTTCCACGTGGCACAAGTCAGTCAAAGAATTTGCTCCACGTGGCCGAGAACGTCCCCAGCTGCCATGTCGGATGATGTTCCTGAGTAAAAGCGAAAAATATAAAAATGCAAATATATGAATAGATTATTTATAAAATTATTTAAAGAGATTAAAACCTATAAGTTTGGATTTTAAAAAATAATTAGACTCTTAATTAATATTTAAAAATTAAAATTTTATCATATTAAATGTTAATATTTAAATTTAAAAATTATTATATATTTTAAAATATCAATATTAAATAATATAAGTTTTTA